ATGCCTGGGTTGAGGGCTCAATCCCCAGTAAGGGGCATGCAGGAGGCAGCTGATGGATGTATCTCTCTCACATCGATGTGTTGTTTTTTTTTTATAATATTTTTCTTTATTGATTTTAGAGCGAGAGGAAGGGAGAGGGAGAGAGAGATAGAAACATCAATGAGAGAGAATACTGATTGGCTGTCTCCTGCATGCCCCCCACTGGAGATTTGGCCCACAACCTGGGCATGTGCCCTGACTGAGACATCTGAAAAATCAATTAAGCCTGGCAGGTGTGGCTCAGTGGTTGAGGGTTGACTCATGTACCAAGAGGTCACCAGTTCGATTCCCAGTCAGGACACACCCACACAACCCCAACCGGGCCGGAGACGAACTGCAACTGAGGTATGTGCCCTTAGCGGGAACCGAACCTGTGTCTCTCTGGTCCGTAGGCTGACTTCTAACCACTGAGCCAAACCGGCCAGGGCTCTCATTAATATTTCTATTTCTATTTCTATTTCTATTTCTATTTCTATTTCTATTTCTATTTCTATTTCTATTTCTATTTCTATTTCTATTTCTATTTCTATTTCTATTTCTATTTCTATTTCTATCTCTCTCTCCCTCTTCCTTCCTTTCTCTCTAAAATCAACCAATCAATAAAAATGAATTAAAATATTTAAAATAAATACATAAATAAATAAAAATAAACTCTACATTCTGTCTTCAGTTATTAATTGGCTTTCCTTTTTTTTTCTTTTCTTTATTTATTTTTATAGAGACAGGAAGGGAGAGGGAAAGAAAGATAGAAACACAGATGCGAGAGAACATCGACTGACCGCCTCCTGCATGCCTCCCATTGAGGATCAGGCCCATAACCTGGGCATTTGCCCTGACCGGGAATCGAACTGGTGACCTCTTGGTACATGGGTCAATGCTCAACCACTGAGCCACACCAGCCGGGCTTAATTGGCTTTCTAACTCAAAAGATCTTTCCCTATTCTCCTTCCTTCCTTCCACTCCTCCTCTTCCTTCTTCACTCTGTATGTCTAATATTTTCAGAATTAGTATGAACTCTGGGGTTCTTTCTTCATTCAATGCTTTAATTGATCACTGCCATTATTCATTTTGGTGCATAAAGTGTCCCTGCCTTGGCCAGGGGGTAACTCCTTCAAGCTGGTTCCTTGTCCTTTTGACTTGTTACCATCCTTCTTTGAGTACTGCCTTACTTTCTGATGCAACAGGATGTTCCAGGCTCATCTTGTACTTTTCCTGCCCCAGCTTTGGAACCAGCCATTTTCCAAGGAGCCTTTTCACGGAGAGTGGTATTTAGAAGCTAAGATCTGGGTGTTAAGTGCTTGCCCTATTTTGAAGGTAGAGATAACAGAATTTACAGATAAATTGAATGTAGAGTATAAGAAAAGACTCCCTATTCCCTTGAGTTTTTTAGACATTGCTTCCCTGAATTCTTCCTAGACATTCCTTAAGGCTGAATCTAGCCTCTATTTTAGCAAGTATTTTATTATTTGAATTCTTTATACACAAGCACATCTCTAAATGCAGCATAGCAATGAAGTATCAGACTCTGGTACTACCCTGGAGATATTTACCCTTGGCCTTGGGCCCTTTGACCAACCTGGTTTTGAAGCTCATCTCTAGCACTTGGTTGCCTGAGCCTTGACAAAGTCTCTTAACTGGTTTCTTAGTTTTTTCATCTGTAAAATTGGGTAACAATATGTACCTCACAGTGCTGTCGTGAAGAGTTAATGCTATGTGAATATGAAGTGGAAATAAAGGTAAGAGAGGTTAAATAACTTGCCTTAGGGAGTTATTTCCTCGCCTGTAAAATGGGCTCACTGTGAGGATTGGCTAGAATCATGCACAGAGAACTTTTAGTTTTGTACCTGGCAAATTGCTATTATCAGAGTTTTCTAAGAGTATTTCCAAAGTATTGTTCTTTTGTGATTTGTTGAGGCCAACACCCCTTGTTCATATTTTCATCATCTCTTCCTCCACCCCAGGATCCGTAGTCTGTGCTGTTTCTTGAGTGCTTCAGGCTAGAACCTGGATGCATCTACATCCTCTCAGGTTTCCCCAGAAATGGAGACCCACACAGAGCCTAGGGAACATACAAGTTTGTCAGCAGCAATTTGGTCAGAATGACAATTTGTCAAAAATAAATTTTGCTTTGGCGACTTTTAAAAATATGTGTTAAAAAATTTTTTTTTAGAGAGAGATGAAGGGAGAGAGAAACATCAATGTGAGCGAGGTACTTCAATTGGCTGCCTCCTGCACACACACAACCCCTTCCCCACCCAACTGGGGATCGAGCCCACAACCCAGGCAAGTGCCCTGACCAGGAATTGAAATGGGACCTCTCAGTCCATGGGACCATGCTTAATTCACTGAGCCACACCAGCAAGGCTGATTTTTTTTTCCATTGGAAAACTGGAAATTTTTGTGCAGTCTTACAAACATTCTTGTTAATTTTTTTTAGGATTTAAAAAATAATAATCTTCTATTACTTTGCAACTAATTATTCTTACTGTTCTGTTTGCAGTAGCAAAATGTCAAAACAACCTAAAGGTCCTTCCTTCCTCCCTCCCTCTCTCCTTCTTTCATTAGTTCAGTAAAAAAAGAAAAGTGCAGAACAGTATATGTAATAAAATCTAATACAATGAGATACAGGTATGTGTAAACATAGACATTGTCACGACTGTTTATCTGCTTGTGGTGGTGGAGCCTGCTCATTTTCCACTCTCCTGACTGTTAGAGAGGCACTGTGGCCCTGAGCATCCCTACATACTCCTGCTGGTTTGCCAAGAACGCAAAGTCCTGCCCAGTCAGTGTGGCTCAGTGGCTGAGCGTTGACCCATGCACCAAGAGGTCACTGGTTCAATTCCCCGTCAGGGCACATGCCCAGATTGTGGGCCCGATCCCCAGTGGGGGGCATGCAGGAGGCAGCCAGTCGATGTTCTCTCATATCGATGTTTCCATCTCTCTCCCTCTCCCTTCTGCTCTCTCTAAAATCAATAAAGATGGAACACCAATCAGAAAGAATATATGTACCTCTATGTTCATAGCAGCACTATTTATAGTAGCTAAGATCTGGAAACAAACCAAGTGTCCATCAGTAGATTAATGGATAAAAAAGCTGTGGTACATATACAAATGGAGTACTATGCAATTGTAAGAAAGAAAAATCTCTTATCATTTGAGATGACATGGAGGGACCTGGAGAGTATTATGCTAAGCGAAACAAGCCAAGCAGAGAAAGACAAATATCACATGATCTCACTTATTTGTGGAATATAATGAACTAAACAAACTGATGAACAAAATTGACCCAGAGACATAGAGGTAGGGTACAGACTGACAAACCCCAGAAGAGGGGATGTTTGGGGGGGAGAGAGAAACCACAGAACTTACATGCATGTACGCATAACCAATGGACATAGACAACAAAGCTGGGGAAGGGGGGTGAGGAGGATGGGGAGGCGGGTGTCAATGAGGGAGAAAGGAGAAACATCTGTAACAAAAACAAATTAATAAAAATAATTAAAAAAAAAAAAAAATCAATGGCCCTGGCCGGTTTGGCTCAGCGGTTGGAGCGTCGGCCTGCGGTACAGAGACCCGGGTTTGGTTCCCGCTAAGGGCACGTACCTCGGTTGCAGTTTGTCCCCGGCCCTGGTTGGTCGTGCGGGTGGCAGCCACTCGATGTGTCCCTTCACATCGATGTTTCTCTCTCTCTCTCTTCCTCTCTCTCCCTCCCACTCTATCTGAACAAAAAATGGAAAAATGTCCTCGGTTGAGGATTAAAACAATAAAATAAAATAAAATAAAATCAATGAAGATTAAAAAAAAAAAAAGAATGCAAGGTCCTGGACACTATATCCAGGCCACTTCTCAGATGTGTGTCTGCAGTGAGTGACTCTAAGGAATAAAACAGTATCTCCCTTCAGGACAAAGAGCAGGCTTCCTTACCACCTCAGCTGTGGGGCAAGCCCCTCTGCGTTGCCCCTGTGGGACTCGGGGCAAGGGGAACTGATGAAAACGTAACGCTCCTGCTGCTTGCTGTGTGGTGACTAATGGATTCCTGTGTCTCTGAGGCAGGATTCTCATGTCTTTGTGTCAGACTCACAAGTTAGCTGGTAAGTGGGGTAGGAACCCAGGGCCTGCCATTGGCCTGTTTCAGTCATCTGTATGTACATGTATTGCTTTTACAATATGAAAATCAGTTTTGATTTTTTAAAAAGAAAGGCAAAAACCAAGCTATACACATTGCAAAAGTCAAAGCTTACAAATTAGGGGAAAGTCAGAAAACAGCAACCATCTAAAGAAGAAAATAAAGAACCCCCACTATTACCTAGCCTAAGAGACAGTTAATATCTCAATAGATATCTTTCCAGACTGCTTTCCATAGAGAGTCCCATATCTTTATTCGTCTACAAGAATAAGATCATAACATATGCAGTGCTTAGCAACTGCCTTGATTTATTTAAGCACCCACAACTAGAACCCCCCAGCTTCTTGAGATGCTGTCAAGAGCTCACCAGGGATCCATGCAGCTTGCAAAGGCTTTCTCTTTGCCCTCCAGCAGAGTCCAGGGCTTCCTCTTGCCCTGGTACTTCCTGGGAGCTCTTAAGCCAGTGCCACTTTAGGTTTTGGCCTAACAGCTTCGGGACCACAAATGCAAAGGAAACCACCCTCCCCTCTCATTTCCTCCCCCACACTCCCTAGTTCTCAAGTGTACGGTCTCATCACCCCAGGTCTGAACCCCTTCACCATCCCAGCTTTACCTCTTGCCATCCCATTTCCCAGCTAAGACTGAAGAATCCCCATTCCAGACTCCCCGCCCCACACTAGCTAAGACCCCAGAGCCCCTGGCACCATCTCTGACCCCTGAAAAAGTAAGTGATGCTGTTCTCATCACATGGCAGCTGTGGGAACAGGGTGGGTGGGGCAGGATGCTGGGGTGGGGTGGGTGGAGCCAGGGCCACTTCCTTTCCCCTTGGGGCCCTGTCGCCCAGTCCTGCCTCAGCTTCAGGAGGAGTTGGAGCAGCCTGGCCCCAGGCCTGTGACTTATCAAATGAGCTGGTAAGGGGGTGTGACTGGGTGGGGCAGGGGTTTCAGAAGACCTAGAAATGTGCCTATGGCTTGAAAAGATCCTGGGAGATGATGGGACAAGAGGATCAGGAGCCTCTGGGGCTGAATAGGGTCAGGGACAGGCCAGGAGAGTTGGCCATTGTTGGAGTGCAAGTTGCCAACACTTGAGGGAGCCTATCGGATAGAGCTGATGGGGAGTTGCCAGCATCTGTTCCCTTGTTATCTCTGATAATAGTAAAAGAGCGGGTGGAAAAAGCCGTTAAACCACAGGTGAGGCCTGGCAGCTGGCAGGGAAGTGGGCAGGAGGGAAGGGCCTGCCCAGGTCTACCACCAGCTCCTTATGTGTTACATTTCTCCCACTTCCCTACCCTCAGGTCCCATCTTCTGCTCATGCCTGTTGTTATTGAAATGACCCTGCTTCTCCTATTCTTTGGGGGTTTCTGGGCCCAAGTGGTGAGCACAGGGCCTCCGGAGATGACTACATCCACAGAACCTTCTTTTTCTTTGGTCTCAAATATCTCTGAGGCCCCAAACCTTAACGCAGAGACCTCCAACCATAGAATAGTAATGGTCCCTGAGAATAATGCCAGCACTGGGCAGCAGATCTCCCCACCTTCCTCAACTCCTCATTCAGCCAGTGAGTCCTCCTCTCCTAAGACTTTCATCACTGCCCATGGTCTCCCTGAGCCAACAATCTCCCATGAAGTTTCCTCCAGGAAGTCATCAGTGTTCCAGGAAATCCCTAAAGCAACCAGTAACTCTACTGTCCCAGCAACAAGTACTCTGGTACTTCACACTATTACTGGTGGAACCATGGCAACCAGCTCCCTGGAGACCTCCAATGAGACTAGCAGACCCCCTGTCACCACGGCAACTAGCTCTCTGGCGATCTCTGATGCAACCAGTGGACCCCCCGTCACCATGGCAACAAGCTCTCTGGAGATCTCTGATGCAACCAGTGGATCCCCTGTCACCAAGGCAACGAGCTCTCTGGAGATCTCTGATGCAACCAGTGGACCCCCTGTCACCATGGCAACAAGCTCTCTGGAGATCTCTGATGCAACCAGTGGACCCCCTGTCACCATGGTGACTAGCTCTTTGGAGACTCCCAAGGGAACCAGTGCCTCTCCCATGTCTAGGGTAAAAATATTCATCATGACTACCCCAGAGACCCCCACAAATACAGGCAGGACACCTTCCCCAAATTCAGATCGGAGGACAACTGATACCCTGATGGTGACTGTGCTTGTGGCCCTGTTGGTGATCATTATCCTCTTGGCACTACTCCTGCTGTGGCGCCAGCGGCAGAAGCGGAGGACAGGGGCCGTGACATTGAACAGAGGTGGAAAGCGCAATGGAGTGGTAGATGCCTGGGCCGGGCCAGCCCGAGTGGCTGATGAGGAGGTTGTGATAACAACAGCAGGAGTGTCTGATGGTGACAAGGGCTCTGGGACCCCAGCTACGGAGAATTCTGGCCGGCGACCCACACTCACCACTTTCTTTGGTAGACGGAAGTCTCGCCAGGGCTCCTTGGCACTGGAGGAGATAAAGGCTGGGTCAGCCCCCAGCCTAAAGGGGGAGGAAGAGCCACTGGTGGGCAGTGAGGCTGGGGCTGTGGAGGCTCCCAATTCCGATGGGCCAGAAGGGGAGATATGAAGGTCCTTTAGTGCTTGTGAATAACAAGAGTAGAGCTCAGAATCTTTCTAGCTTTCAGCAAACCCTTCTATCATCACTTCCAACCTCATCATCACCCAGCATCTTCACCCAGCACCTTCACTCTGAATCCCAACCTAGCTTCTTAACCCTGGAACCTCCAGCCCCCACCCCAATGCCCACACCCAAACCCAGCTCGGAGGCTGCGGCTACACCCGCTTGAAGGCTTGAAGACTGAATGAATGAAACTTCCTCATCAACTCCCATTTCTCTCCATTACCTTTTTCTTCACGTTTTTGTCCTTGAAACCAGACGCTGAGTCTCCATAATGCCAAATTTCCTTGACCTATGAGTGCTCAGAGGATTCCCCAGGGACACCAGAGTCTGGGAAGAAGAAAACGACAAGCCAGCAAACTGCCATCTAGGATTACTCTGGAAAGTACATTTGGCCCCATTGATTAGGACCTTCGCTGGGTCATGCCATGCAACTCCTTTAACCCTGGGCCCAGTGCTCTGTGCGGGCCAGTCTGGACTGATGCCACCCAGCTGTGCTCTCAGGCGTGCTAGTGACAGCACCTGGCCTCTACGCTGGTCACTGGCCGAAGCCACCACACTGTCCCCACCTGTGGACTGAGGCAGCCAAGGCTTCAGCCGTTTCTCCTCCCAAGGGCAGAGGTGAGAAGAGTTTCTGGCCAGTGTAGTTCTCAGAAGCCCTGGCTCCTGTGTGGGTCCACTGATGGGTGTGGTTTGTGTGCAAGAGGCAAGGATTTGGTGGTTTGTGAAGGGTAGTGGTGAATACAGAGGGTGTGAGGGACGGGGCAGGAAGGGTTTCAGAGACTGAGGACATGCCAACCTGAGGAACTGCTGAGAACATCTGCGCCCTCATCGCTGCTCAAATGGGGTGGAGGTAGTAAAGGATTTAACTCTGTCTGTGGCCTAATAAAGGAATGTCAGGCTGCTAGAAAGACTGCACGGTGACCTGAGTGTGGTTCAGCCACCGTGTCCCTTCCTTACAGCCTCCTCGGCACATGAGGTAGGGGGAGAGGGGCCCTGGTGGCCTGGTCTCGGTGATGCACCACTATTACGTGTTTGTGTGTTTCAAGCCCCTTCTCTTCTCCAACGGGTCAGTGAGAGCGAGCTAAATGAGGACCTACGACAGGCTGGCAGGACCAGGGACTTCCCCGGTGGCTCCAGGACAGACAGGAGGGGACAAGACCCAGCTGGCTGTCTCTGAGACCAGCCCAACCTAGAGCCCAGCCCAGGCCAGAGCCCAGGGAGCCGCGTGGGCCAGAGGTGGTTGGTATTTCCCCAGGGCAAAGAGGAAATTTGCAAAGAGGAAGTTGTTGAGTCACAGGGCTCAGTGGCTGAGTGCAGACTGACTGACCTACAAAAAGAGGCAGATGGGAGCTCTGTGGTGTGATTGCCATGTGGCCAAAGTGGGGGGCAGGCAGGAAATAGAGAGAGGGCCCCTGTGGGTCAGGTCATGGGGTGGGGGAGAGAAGGGGCACAAAGTGGCCAAGGATCCACAGGCTTGTCTCTGACGTGTGGGGAGGGCTGAGCTGGGCTGGAAATCCAGCCTTCACCATGTAGACTGGGCACCCCAGAGGCTGTGTCTGGGAACTTCTCCTACTTCTCACAGGCACTGTTTGGACTAGTCGTAGCCCCAGAACAGCAGAAGTGCGTTCCCAAGTCCCTTAGGGATACCACAACTGTTGTCTTAGATTGGTCAAACCAAGCGCCCCAATTTCAAGTTTAGAAAATAGTGTCACCGAATTCAGAGGCCATCGGCCCCACCGGCTCACTCAGCACAGGCAGGCATTTTCTGAGCCATCACTGGTTTCTGGGTCTTGTGCGAATCCTGCAGAAAATGGGGTGGGGGTGGGCAAGGTACCCAATAGGGCTCTTCTCAGAAAACATTTAAATATGTGAAAAGCTTTCAAAAAGAAGAACAAACAACATTTTATGAGTGCCAAAAAAGGGAGCGACACACTGCGCCTGCGGGAGGCTGAGAGGCTTCCTCGGAGTGTGTTTCACTGGGTTTTGTCGTATTCGCTGCCATGGTCCTGGAGCTATGTCGTTGGCATGTATTAGGTCCTCAGTAAATATTGACTTCGATGAATGAATGAATGAATGAATGAATGAATGAATATGACTCCTCAGAGATTTTGAAGGCTAAGAAGGGTTTTGCCAGACTGAAAGGAGAGAAGGCACCCTCAGCAGGTGCCAAAGCACCTTAATGAAGGGCGAGCAGTTCACTGTAGATTCTTTTTTTACAATCATGGAACAGATGCCTTTTAGTTCTCTACAGGGGAAAGAGCACAGGAAGCAGTAGATATTGTAACACAAAAAAGGAGAGAAACAATAAGAAAATAGAGAATATCGTAGTAAGAGAGGACCAAACATATAAATTATAAAAATAATTGTAAATGGCTTATTATACTTTTCATAGTCGCTAAAAATGTTTTAAAAAATTATACTATTACTTTGAAAAATGTCTACAATATAATGTTAAATGGGAATGTATAGTAACTGTGGTTATCTATAAATAAGTTTATGGGTGATTTTTTTTGTTCTGTTTTTGTTAATCCTCACCCGAGAATATTTTTTCCATTGATTTTTAGATGTGGGAGGGAGGGAAGAAGAGGGAGAGAGAGAGAAACATCCATGTGAGAGAGACACATCAATTGGTTGCCTCCTGCACGATCCTGACCGGGGCCCAGGGATCGAACCTGCAACCCAGGTGTGTGCCCTTGACTGAGAATCAAACCCAAGACTCTTTGGTCCTCGGGCCAACACTCCACTTGCTGAGCCAAATCCACCAGGGCAGTTATGGGTGATTTTTATTTTGTTTATACTTTTCTATATTTTCCAAATTTTATACAATAAATAACCACTTTTACGATGACCAAAACTATTAACAAAGAGGTGCTCACTGGGAGGATGGGTGTGTGTGGTTTGAGGAGAGGTGCAGGAGACGACGCTGGAAGGCAGGTCGGAGCCTGCTGAGGCGTGAGAGTTCTCCTTCAGCCTGGAAGCGCCTGGAACGTAGGCCTGAGTCAGTTTCCCTCCTCTGTGGAGGCCTCAGCAGGTGGTATCTCATGCTTTAGGTCAAAGTTCACATTTGTTTGCCACTTCACTTTTACAGAAGATCTACATTAGTCCCTGTTTTCATTCAATGAAAGAAATCCGAAGAGGATTTTCACTTTCGCCAAACTGGCGAAATAAGCCAGTTAGAGAAAGACAAATATCACATGATCTCACTTATATGTGGAATCTAAAGAACAAAATATACTGACAAACAAAATAGGTCCAGAGGTATGGATGCATGCAACAGACTGACAGATCTCAGAGGGGAGGGGGAGAAGGAGTGGGAAGAGATTAACCGAAACATGTGTATGCATATGGACACAGACAATATTGTGGGGAAGGCCTGGGGTGGGGTGGGGCTGGGGGGGGCACAGTGGGCCAAAATGGGGGGCATCTGTAATACTCTCAACAATAAATAATTTTTAAAGGAGAAAACAGCAGTCAGCATTTGTTCTGTAGTCAGTGGTTAAAGGGGCAGCGCACACCTTGAGCAGCAAGAGTATTACTACTTTTACTACATGTTAGTGCCATTTTCGGTTTTCTGTATTATTTGCTATGATTTAGCAGATTATTTTCTGGTTCTGGGAATGCTCCCCAATTTTTCCGTAAAAATTAATGGTAATTGGTTTTTCACATCAGCCCATTTTGGCTCAGGGAAGGTTTTATGGGAATATTCTACTTTGGGACAGCAAGGGAAGCTGTGCCAACATTTGGCAAAACACAGAATCACCATCAAGCCCCACTCTCCCCTCTGTCCTCGCTTCCCGCTCCCTGCTGCCGCGTCCCGCGGATTCGTCTTCCACAGTCCCTGGGAGCCCGGCCTTCTCCTCTCCCTGCCTGGTCCCGATGAGACTTCTCTTTCGGTTTCCTGACCCCAATCCCTTCCACCCGCTGCTCATGGCAGGCCCAGCGACACTTCTAAAAGGTCACTCTGCCCTGGCTGGTGTGGTTCAGTTGGTTGGGCATTGACCCATGCGCCAAAAGGTTGCTGGTTGAATTTCCGGTCAGGGTATATGCCCCCGTTGTGGGCTTAATCCCTGGTAGGGGCCGTTCAAGAGGCAGCTGATCCATGTTTCTCTCTCTCTCTCCCTCTCCCTTGACCCTCTCTAAAAATCAATGAAAAATAAATAAATGAAAGGCCACTCTGTCCAGATTACTCCTGCACTGCCGTAGGCCACCAGGATAGAGCCCACCTTCCTTAGCATGCAGTGTAAGACCCTTTCAAGATCTGGCCTTGCTTCTCTGCCCACCGCTGCTGGGGAGTCCTGGGCCCCAACACTCTAGTCCTCCCGCCTCATCAAATTCCTTGTAGCCAGCTCCCCGAGCATGTCATGTGTTTTTCTTGAGGAGGGGAAGATAATTAAAAATGTCGAAAATATTTTTGTCCAGACAGTAAAATAACATTTTTCCTCTTTTGCAAAAGTTAATTACCAGCACATTCTGGTTCCTTAAATAATGGGACACACACAACCACATACAGTGTGTTAGTCTTGATCTTACATTTTAAAATACACATTCTATTTTAGTCTCAAAAGTGCAGGTTAAGCCCTGGTCGGTTTGGCTCAGTGGCTAGAGCATCAGCCCTCGGACCAATGAGTCACAGGTTCGATTCTGGTCAAGGGCACGTACCTCAGTTTTGGTTCATCCCCAGCCCTGGTCTGGTCGTGGGGGAGGCAACTAGTCGATGTGGCTCTATCACATTGATGGTTCTCTCTGTCTCTCTCTCTGTCTCTCTCTCTCTCTCTCTTTCTCCCTCCCACTCTAGCTAATGATAAATAGAAAAATATCCTCAGGTGAGGAATAAAAAAAAAGTGCACATTAAGGTCATGATTACAAATAAAGTTTTGTCATCCAAAATGAAAATTCCAGATGGAAGACAATCTGGGTGGGGAAAGTATTGAGAAATTTATGAATATTTTATTAAATTTTTAAAAATTTATATATTTTTAAATTTATCCTGTTGAAAGTATGACAGATGTGCTCCCTTCTTTCCCTCACTGACCTCCTCCCCCCCATTCCTGTTCCCCTCCTGCCTTCCCTACACTATTGTCAGTGTCCATTGGTTATGCATGTAAGTTCTTTGGTTTAGTTCTTCCCATCCTCCCTCCTTCCTTCCCTTTTTGAGGTTCATCAGTCTAACAACCAATTTGTACTTCTTAATCCCTTCACCTTTTTTGCCCATCCCCCCAACTCCCATCCCATCTGCAACCAACAAAAAGTTCTCTGTATCTATGAGTCTGTTTCTGCCCTGGCTGGTGTGGCTCAGCAGTTAGAGCATTGGCCCACAGACCAGAGAGACTCGGGTTCGGTTCCCACTAAGGGCACATACTCTCAGAAAAAAAAAAAAAAAAGAAAGAGATCTATGTGTGTGTTTCTTTTCTTCTAGTTCATTTTATTTGTAGATTCAATTGTTGATAGATATGTATTAATAGCCATTTTATTGTTCATATTTTTTATCTTCCTCCTCCTCAAGAAGATCCTTCAATATTCCATATAATACTGGTTTGGTGGTGATGAACTCCTTTAACTTTTTCTTGTCTGAGAAACTCTTTATCTGACCTTCTATTCTAAATGATAGTTTTGCAGGGAGTGTAATCTTGGTTGTAGGTCTTTACTTTTCATCACTCTGAATATTTCTTGCCACTCCCTTCTGGCCTGCAAAGTTGCTTTTGAGAAATCAGCTGACAATCTTATGGGAGCACCTTTGTAGTTAACTAACTGCTTTTCTCTAGCCGCTTTTAAGATTATTTATTTGGTTTTAAACTTTGGCATTTTAATTATGATGTGTCTTGGTGTGGGCCTCTTTGGGTTCATCTTGTTTGGGACTCTCTGTGCTTCCTGGACTTGTATGTCTATTTCCATCATCAAGAAGTTTTCTGTCCTTATTTTTTCCAATAGGTTTTCAATTTCTTGCTCTCCCTCTTCTCCTTCTATGATGCGAATGTTGGTATGCTTGAAGTTGTCCCAGAGGCCCCTTACACTATTTTCATTTTAAGAAAAAAATTTTTTTCTTTATTGATTTTAGAGAGAGAGAAAGGAAGAGGGAGAGAGAGAGAGAGAGAGAGAGAGAGAGAGACATCAATGAGAGAGGACATCAATTGGCTGCCTCCTCCATGCCCCCCATGGCATGTGCCCTGACTGGGAATTGAATCAGCGACCTCTTGGTATATGGGTCGATGCTCAACCACTGAGCCACACTGGCTAAGCTATTCTCATTTTTTTTTTGGATTCTTTTTTTTTTAGCTGTTCTGATTGGGTGTTTTTTGCTTCCTTATATTCCAAATCAATGGTTTGCTTCTTGGCTTCACCTACTCTACTATTGATTTCCTGTAAATTCTTCTTTTTTTTTTTTTTTAACCTCACCCGAGGACATTTTTCCATTTTTTGTTCAGATGGAGTGGGAGGGAGAGAGAGAAAAACATCGATGTGAAAGGAACACATCAAGTGGTTGCCACCCACACAACCCAACCAGGGCCGGGGACAAACTGCAACCAAGGTACGTGCAGGAACCAAACCCGGGTCTCTCTGGACCGCAGGCCGACTCTCTAACCGCTGAGCCAAACCAGCCAGGGTGGGATTCTCAAGTTTTACTCATCATCTTTGCCACACCTGGTACAGCCTCCCTGATCACCCCAGTTGGGCCCTTGAGGTGCACTTTTTGTGTGGACTGTACACCATTCAGTTGTAATTGAGTACTGATTGCTGTTGGCACACCAATGGGAAGGATTTACTTGGGTTGATCATCTGCAAGGACTGGCTGTGACCACTGACCACTGACCTCTGATCACCTTGGAGGATCAGCTGTGCAGGGGCCACCACACAGAACAAGACTTACTTTGGCAGGACTCTGGTACCCACTGAGCCCACTCCTTGAGTGTGTTGCTTGTGGAGGTGTGGTCTGAAGCCGTCCACTGGGTGTGCTGGCTCTGGGGCCTCCTGGGAGGTGCAGGCCAAGGCCAGCTGCTGCCTGTGTTCTGCCTGGGGCCACCAGGTGTAAGCTACAAAGCAATGTGTAGATGGCTGCTGCTTTGTTTTTTAATCCTCACCTGAGGACATTTTTGCATTCATCTTCAGTTAGAGTGGGAGGGAGAGAGGAAGAGAGAGAGAAACATTGATGTGAGAGAGGCACATTGAGTTGTTGCCACCCACACAACCCCAGCCAGGTCTGGGGACAAACTGCAACTGAGGTACGTGCCCTCAGTGGGAACCAAATCCGGGACTCTCCGGTCCACGGGCCAACACTCCAACTGCTGAGCCAAACTGGCCACAGTGATAGCTGCTTCTTGTACTGGGCTTGAAAGGTGCCCAGGAAAGGCCAATCCGTGAACCAAGGCTGGCTGCTGCTAGTACCGGCCCTGGGGCCATTTAGCGAGAGTTATGGGGCTTGCTGAGGCCAGATGCTGCTTGTTTTAGAGATTTTAGGAAAATTCGAAACATGAACGCAGACAGACAATTTCTATGGGAAAGCCACTGGAAAGGGCTTGGGTAGGCCTGAAAGTTGGGGGGGGGGGGGGGGCGGGGCCTCAGTGCATCACCAGGGTGGAGCAATCAGGGTGAGCCAGGTTGCTGGAGTCCCAGATATGGTGCCCATCTGCTGGCCCCTTTGGGGGAAGGGCTCACCAAAGGAACAACAGCCTCTACCAACATGTCTGTCTGTCTAAGAGAAAGCAGCCTGTCTAGCCTCACCCCAATGCCAAACAACTCAGTTCTTCCCCATGTGTCTCTGATGCCTTTCAAGCTGCCTCCCTGCATTGGAGCCCACAGGGAGAGAGTCCAAGAAAGTTGGGCACGGGCCCTTTAAGAGGAACTGCCTGGGACTCCAGAAGCCTCAGTTCCTGCTGGTTTTTACAGCCAGAAGTCATGGGGACTTCTCTTCCTGGCACTGGAATCCTGAGTTGAGGGGCCTGGTGTGGGATGGGGATCCCTCACTCCTCAGTGGGGACCTTCACAGCTGTAGTATCTCTCCTGATTTTTATCTGCCACACGTGGGTGTGGGACCAGCTCTTCCGTGCCTCCTACCAGTCTCCATGTGGCTTCTTTTATTTCGTAGTTGTAGGACTTCCATTCAGTTCAATATCAGGTGGTTTTGAAAGATTGTTGTTCGTTCTTTAGTTGTAATTTTGATATGGTTGTCAGGACATTTTATTTCTAAAAATGGACATTTACACCTAATTTTCCTCTGCACCCCCATTTCTGGCTCTTGGCCCTTGGCAGGCAGAACAGTGCAGGATGAGCTACCTAGGGGCTTCAGGCAGAAGGGACCCCTGTCAGCTCCGGTCACTCCAGCCCTTTCAAACTCTAAGAGGGAATTTGTTGAGGAGCCTGCACAGTGGGTGACTGTCCTGCTCAGGATAGATTTGGGGTACAGACATTAGACAACAGAAACCCAAGGTATTTTGGAGAAACTATACTTGTTCCCAACAAGCTACAAATGGGTGCCTGTGTGCCTCAGCCTCCTAGGATGCCCAGCACCTGCCTGCTCAGCTTGTGGCATCAGGACAGCCTCGCTGGACCATGGCCAGATCCCAGGAGGTGTTGGCCATGGAGAAAGCCACACACTCGCTCCTGCATTTACGCATGCTCTGCCTGACGCCAGCCCACCCCCAGCTTGCCCCACGACACACACTTCTTGACTTCCCGCCTAACTCCTCAACCATCAAGATTCAGCTCAAATGTCACTGCCTTTACAAAGCTCCCCTTCCTGCCTCCACCCCAAACAGACATCACATTTCTCCTCCGCTCTTACAGCACCTTGTGTGACCGCACAACCGGCTGGGCTGTAATTATGTGAAGGTGTCCTTCACTCATTAGAGTGGAGCCCCTCCAAGTCCACGGGTCATCCTTGTGGCTCCAGAGTCCAGAACAGTCACGTAGTAGCTGCCTAACATGTGTTCTCTAAATGAAGGGATAAATGAGTTCATGAATGAACAAATGGTGGTTTGTAAGTAAACATGTGGCAAGATCAGACCTGTCTTTTGGGTGAGGCTGGCATCCAGGAGGATGGCCTGAAGGCAGGGGGCCCCGAGGGGAGGCCATTACTCTAGTCCGAGTTAGACTCAGTAAGACTATGGCCTAAGGTGAAAGAAGAGGTCAAGTCAGAAATATATTTATTCAGAGAATACAATTTCGGGCTAATTGGCTGCTGAAGTGATAGGAGAAGAATGAGGTTAGACTTCAAGGTTTCTATCTTGGGAGATTAAGATGCTGACATGATGATGTGGAAATGCAGAGAGGTGAGCATTTTTTGGGAAAACATGGTGAGTTCATTTTTAGAAGTGTTATGGGGGGATGTTTAGAGATGGTTAGAAATAGAGACCTGGATCTTGGGAGGGATATCAGGGCGAGAGATATGGGTTTTAGAGTCATCTGATTTTATTTTATGTCTTTATTTTCTTTTTTTAATCCTCACCCGAGGACATTTTTCGATATTTTGTTCAGATAGAGTGGGAGGTGGAGAGAGAGAGAGAGAGAAACATTGACGTGAAAGGGACACATCGAGTGGTTGCCACCCACACAACCCAACCAGGGCCGGGGACAAACTGCAACCGAGGTACGTGCCCTTAGCGGGAACCGAACCCGGGTCTCTCTCCACCGCAGGCCGACGCTCTAACTGCTGAGCCAAACCGGCCAGGGCTTATTGATTGATTCTTCTATATGCCCTGACCCAGGATTGAACCCACAACCTGGGCGTATCAGGATGACACTCTATCCAACTAGGTTAGCCAGCCAGGGCAAGAGTCATCGGATTTTATTTATTTATTTATTTATTTAAATCCTCACCTGAGGATATTTTTCTATTTATCTTCAGATAGAGTAGGAGGGAGAGGGAGGGAAAGTGAGAGAGAAACAGTGACGTGAGAGGGACACATCAACTGGCTGCTTCCCGCATGACAACCGAGGTACTTGCCCTTGACTGGAATCGAACCCGCAACTCTTTGGTTTGCGAGCCGACACTTTACCACTCAGCGTTTGGCCAGGGCAAGAGCCATCTGATTTAGAGAGCAGGTTAAGTAATGGTGTAGACGGACATATGCATAAACTATAGCACTCACCGTGTAGCATGAGAAAGGGGGCTGTGGACAGAATTGTAGTGTGTTAGGGCAGGCTACCGGCTGCAACGAACAACCCCAAGATTCAGGGGTAGAACTTAAGAAGAGTTTGTTTCCTTGCTTATGTAACAGCTCAATACTGGTATAAGGAGGCTGACCCTCCATAAGGCCCTTTGGGACCCCGGCTCCTTCCATTTTGTGGCTCTGTCATTCCTGGGGAGGACACGGGAAGAATTTCACTTTTGCTCACATTCCACGGGACAGTCCTGCAGTGGCCTCAGTGCAAAAGAGGCTGGGAATGTAGTGTAGCTGTGTGCCCAGGAGGAAAAGAGGGAACACCAAAATTTGAGGATTGAATATAGGAAGAAGGACCTGCAAGAGACAGCACAGAGCCTTTGAGAGAAAAACCTGGAGAAAATGACACCTTGTGAGAACACGGTTTGGAGAAGGGCTGTCAGGAGCAATCCTGGAGCAGCGTGAGGTGAGCAGGGTGCGGAGGTCCGAAGTGGAACCTGAGAGTGAGGCCTCCTTCGGTTTTGCACCCAGGCCCCTCACTAGTCTCACGGAGCCCCAATCCTGGCAGGGTCTTGTGCTGCAGAGAAGGAGGTGGGAGAAGGCTGGGAAGATGCCTGTGGACCGGCAGCCAGCACTCCCAGGGACCTGAGCCCACAGCGCCCCACAGAGAGACGGAGGCTGGCCGCTCGTGGACAGGAACTGGCCTGGGCAGTTTCCCGGTTTTCCCTTTCAGAAGTCTGGCTCTGATCTGTCCATGCCCTAGAAGCTACTCGGGAAGAGGGAAGGGAAGGGAAATGTACATTTGTTGAGTTTTTACTCTGATATTGGCAGAGGTTTCTCACTAGATTCTCAGTTGAACCTATGATATAAGTGTTACCCCATTTTACAGTGGAGGAAACTGCGGTGGGGAAAAAGGTAAAAAGGTACTTGAGATAAAAAAGGATGAAGCCCAGCCGGTGTGGCTCAGGGTTGAGCATCGACCCATGCATCGGTTCAATTCCTGGTCAGGGCACATGCCCAGGTTGTGGGCCCGATCCCCAGTGGGGACATGCAGGAGGCGGCCAATTGATGTTCTCTCTCATCGATGCTTCTATTTCTCTATCTCTCCCCCGCTCTCAAATCAATAAAGAAAAAAAATAAAAACAAACAGAAAGGATGGAATTAGGATTTTAACCCAAGTCTGAGGCCCGATTTTCCTAGTGTATCATCCAAGCTTTCCAGCCCTGACGGGGCAGCACGTTCACAGCCTCACATCCAGGGACGGGCTGGGTGTGGAGAGAAGGGGGCCTTTGGCTCCAAGAGGAAAGGAGAGGACTTCTGAGTTATGTAACAGAGCCCCCCTCTCTGAGTGTGGAAAGCAGACAAGGTACCACAGCCCCAAGGGTCCTGAAAGAGGACCAGAGGGAGCCCCAGAGAAATGGGAGGGCCTATGGGGCTGGCTACACCGGCCCTGCCCCCTCTTCTGCCAGCCCCACCCCCAGCCTCAGGCCTCCCAGAACACTGGATCTGAGCAGCTGCCGCCAGCGGGGAGCTCCAAGCTATCATGGATCCTAAAGGTAAAGGAGCCCCCCAGACTTCTCCCCACTGCGTTCCTGCACCACCATCTCCCCCACCCTCCTGCCCCTCTCCCCGTCCCAACTTGTGTCAGTCCCTATCCCTCCCCCGCCACTGGAAGACCAGTGTCCTGCCTCCCACCACTGTCTTACCGCCCCCACCTGGTCTCCCTCAAACCTCTGAACCCCAAGCATTCTTTTCTGACTGCCAAAGGCCTCCGCTCGCTCTTCTTTCTCCTCCGTGTTGGGTCTCAAGGAGCTCTGGGGGAGAAAGGAACTCAGGAAAGGTCAGGGGTGGCGGAGGAGGGCCGTCACCTGGGGGCTCAGGGGACAGGTAGTGGGAGGCTGGATGGGGCTAGCTCTGGACTTTGCTCGGAGCTCCAGAGGAGTGGAGGCAAAGTCCAGTCCCATCCGCCTGGGGTGGGGGAAGGGGCTTGAGTCCCGTGATCCTGCGCGGTGGGGTGGGGATGATGGCCTATATGCTGAATGACGAGGGCCAGGTTCTGGGGTCAAAAGGCTGCTGTTTGAATCCAGCCCTCACCAGGAACAGGCTGTGTGACCTTGGGCGAGTCACCTGAATTCAGGGCCTAATTTCCTTGCATCTGTAAAATGACAATAACAGTTCCCTGCTCATAAGTTTGTGGGGAGGACAAATGACGGGATGCATGAAAGGGGCCTCATCTGTGAGCTCTCTGGATTTCACTGGGCTTCTTCCTCAGCTCTGACATCCCTCCCTGGCTTGGGCTTTTGCTGGCCCTGCACACCCCGTCCCTCTGGCTTGGCCACGGAAGCAGCTCTTGAGCGCCCAAACAAGCTCTTGGCTTAGAAATGACCTCAGAGTCAGAGCCTGGGTTCAAGTTCCATTCCTGCCACCTGCTAGCTGTGTGACTTCAGACAAGATGCTTAGCCTTGCTGTGTCCCTGCTTCCTCACTAGAGTGAAAATAGTGCCTTCCCCGGGATGGGGTGATGATGCAGCGTGGCGTGCCTGCACAGGAGACTCCCCCAACCCCGTGGCAGTTAGGCTGCTGATGCTGACCCCTCACATCTGTCTCTGCAGCTCTGAGCCCTCCTCAGCCTCCGCTCCCTTTTTGGAAGCCCTGTATGTCCATCTCCATCTGGACACCCTGTCATGCCAGCTCCGTTTCTGTTCCACCTCACCATCCTCCTACTCACTGGAAACCTCAGGGTCAGCTTTTACTGCTCAATGTTCCTTGCACCCCAGTATCTAGACAGTTGCCTTGTCCTACGGATTCACCTCCATGGCGTCACCTTAGCCTTTTCCCATTCTGTTCCCACCTCCCTCTGGGGGAGCAGACTGGTGGGGGCTTCCTTTGCATCGCTGCCTTCATACGTGTGGCCACTCAGAGGGCTGGCGCTGGAGTCACTGAGTGGTGGGAATTCAGCCAGGAGGGTGTAGACAAGTCAAGAGGGAGAGGCAAAGGCTGGAGAATTGGGGGCAAGGGGGTGAGGATAGAGCTGGGACAGAGCAGATGAGAGACTGGTGGGCAAAGGCAGAGAGGTTGGACTTGGCCCAGATGCCAGTGGGGCAGGGCCAGGCCCCAAGTCTGTGGGTGTGGGGTGCAGGGAGTGTGTCCTTTTTCTCACAGCCTTGGGAGGGACGCCCCCCTATTGCACTTCGCCCTGGCTCACGCCCCTCACCCAGCTGTTGCGGAGCCTACCAACTGACATCTTTCAGGAACCCCGGCACAATTTAAATGTTTAAACTTCAAAGAGCATTTCTGATGCTGTGGCTTCTGATACAAAGTTTTAGTGACTTCTCATTGCCCATTGAACAAAACCCTAACTTTCCTGTCACTCAGGCCTCCTCAGTCTGGCCCCAGCCTAGCACTTAGCCGGAGTTCTGTAGATTGTTTTACCATTTTCATGATGGGTAGTCATATTTGGCCCTATTTGGAGGTGATTCCTCTTCTCTAGAGAGAAAAGGGAAAGAAATGAACATTAATTTGGAAGCTGTGGTGCAAACCAGCCTCTGTCTCCATCTGGTGTTTGCCAAATGGATCAACAAATAAATAGATGGCAGAACAGAGTTTCCCAAGTCGGACACCTGGGTTCAACAAAACCTGGCCAGGCCTCAGCTCAGGCACGTGATGTGAATCACCGTATTGCCTCCTCGCTGCGGCCCTGCGATTTCCTGCTGAAACTGACTCGGAGAGGTCAGCACACTGCCTGCTGCTACGTGTGGGTTGTGGAGCTGGGTTCAGACCCAGGCGTCTGACTCCCAGCCCAGCTTGTTCCTCCTGCACCAGGAACAGAGCCCTGGAGCCCTGATTTCGGCTTAGAGAGAACTCTGTGAATACTGACATAGTAACATATAATAATGTAAAGATATAATTTAGTGCTAGATTAAATGGCAGTGTGGTGAGATGGGGTATGTGAGGGGACTCTGAGTGCACCTGCCTGGGTGGCTGTTTCTTTTTCTTTTTTTTTTATCCTCACCCGAGGACATTTTTCCATTTTTTACTCAGATAGAGCAGGAAGGAGAGAGAGGAAGAGAGAGAAACATCGATGTGAAAGGGACACATCGAGTGGCCACCACCCACACGACCCAACCAGGGCCAGGGACAAACTGCAGCCAAGGTACGTGCCCTTAGCGGGAACCGAACCCGGGTCTCTGTGGACCGCAGGCTGACGCTCTAACCGCTGAGCCAAACCAGCCAGGGCTGGGCGGCTGTTTCTGACGCACACTTCCCAGCGTGTGGACTTTGGGTAAGTTACTTGCCCTTTCAGTGCCTCAAATTTCCTGATCTGTAAAGTGGTTCGCTCAGTGGTTGAGCGTCGACCCTGCACCAAGAGGTCGCCGGTTGGATTCCCGGTCAGGACACACATGCCCAGGCTGTGGGCCCGAGCCCCAGTGGGGGGCATGCGGGAGGCGGCCAATCGATGTTCTCTCTCATCGATGCTTCTATCTCTCTCTCCCTCTCACTTTTTCTGTCTCTAAAATCAATAAAGGAAAAAAAATTTTTTTTTTAAAAAAGTATTCCCATGGGGTTGTTGTCAGGATTCAATGTGTTAATATAAATAAATGCTTGACACAATGCCTAGGAAGGGCAGTAAAAGTGTTAGCTGTTATTTTTACATATTATGTCATTCCAGATTTGATTATAAGTCTCAGGGTTTAAGACAAATTTATAAAAGCAAAACCTTTAAAATTGACAACTTTTATCTACATTAATTTCCCCCTGTAAGTGGGGGAAACCTTCATTACCTGATTTTACTGGAAGACTGTCAGCCTCGTGCATCACCATTGTGGCTGCACGCACAGGCCACCGCGCTCCACGTGCACTGAAGAACAGAGACGTATTCGTTTTAGGTTCATTGGCACAGCCTCCCTGTGTGTCCATCCATCAGGATCATGACTGAAGAAAAGATGAACGGGTGGAAGTTCTGATTCTGGCAAAGAGCCACGGTCTCGTCAGGGCGACAAGGAAACAGGGCAAGACCAGTAAAAGTGCCAGTGGGGAAGCTCTGCATATCATGCCAGAATCCACGTTCCTCTGTACCCTCCCACGTACTGTGTGTAGAGACGTACAGGAAATACCCGCGCTGCTTTTTGTATCCCCTCAGAAACAGAGATGCCAATTTTAATAAAACTCTGAACAACCAATTAAGAAGGTATTGCACTGAGAGAGCAATAATAAAACCATAATCTCTGGAGTTCAGGCATCTTGGGAGAACTCTTACATACACAAACTGTGAGGGTAGACAGTGGGACAGTGTCCCTGAGTCCCCTGGGCACGTCCCCTGGGCCCACTGCTAATTAAGAGAGCCTGTATTTTCAAAACTACCAGCAGGAATCCCTTTTTTTGGAAATGCATGAGAGTCAGGCCTGAAGCAAATTAGTCCAGACATAGGTATTTATTTTGCATAAGTGGAATGCCTGGAACATTCTGCCTGTGCGATAGGCAGTCAGAACAGTTCGCCTTGCAGAGAGGGGCCCGGAGAGGCACCCCGCTGGCTGTGGAGGAGGAGGAGCTGGGTCCGCCTTGCTCATTTTCTAGCTCTTCCCTTTAGTAATTGACTTTCTGTCTCGGAGCCTCAGCTCTCCGTCTATGAGTGTGGATTATCTCTACCTTGAAAACCCGCGAGCAGGCCTCGGGGCAGCCCCACAGCGTGCCCGCACACAGTAGGCGCCGATGGATGGCAGCGGCCTTCCCTTCCTGCGCCCGGAAGCTCTGTCTTTGCTACAAGTTAGGGTTACGCCAGCACGTCCCAGACTGGTTATGTCCAAATTTCTGGGGATGGGCCCAACATCAGCATTGTGCAAAGCTTCTCAGGCAGTTCCACTGTGGGGCCAAGGTTCGGAACCACTGCCTTCTACACCCTAAAAACTTCCCTTGACCCTGTCTCAAATGAGGGGCCTCTCTTTTCCTTCTTTCTTTCTCTCCAACTTTTTTTTTCTTTATTGATTTTAGAGAGAGAGAGGAAGGGAGACAGAGAGGGAGAGAGAGAAACATCGATGAGAGAGAACATCGACTGGCCGCCTCCTGCATGCCCCCCACTGGGGATCAGGCCCACAACCCGGGCATGTGCCCTGACCGGGAATCGAACCTGGACGGGACGTCTCTGTCCATGGGACTGACGCTCAGTCCACAGAGCCACACCGGCTGGGGCTGGTTCCCTGGGGCTGCAGAACGGTTCCTGACTTTCGGCAGAGCATTGATTCTTATTTGTTAGTGGACAATTCAGTGATTTTTAGTAAATACCGAATTGTGCAGCCATCACCATAGAGCATTTCCATCACCCTGGTAAGATCTCTCTTTTTTAAAAATCCTCACCTGAGGATATTTTTCCATTTTTCTTCAGATAAAGCGGGAGGGAGGGAGGGCGGGAGAGAGAGAGAAACACTGATGTGAGAGAGACACATCAGTTAGTTGCCTCCCTTCCCGCATGACCCCAACCAGGACTGGGGACCAAACCCACAGCCGAGGTACGAGGTATGTGCCCTTGACCGGAATCAAATCTGCCAACTCTCTGGTCCGAGGGCCGACACTCTAACCACTGAGCCAAACCGGCCAGGGCAGATCTTTCTTTTTTGTATTTAATTTTTTATTAGTAGTTCTGAATAAATACGTGTTAAATATATGTGCTGACACACATTTACATATACCTGGTGTTTTGAGATCTCTTTAGTTTATTCCCAGTCCCAGGCAACCACTATTCTGACATCTGTCCCTCTCAATTTGCCTTTTCTGGACGTTTCATGTAAACAGAGGCCTGAAATGTGTGGTTCTTACCCCTCGTGCATCCGAGTCACAGGGGGAGCTCTTCCTGGATCCCTGGGAACATCCCCCAGCGATTCTGGTCCAGGTGGTCTGGACGGGCCTGTGCAGCCGAGTCCGAAAGGCCCCCGTGGCTCCAATGCGCACGCCAGGCGGAGGGCCCTGCTTTCTCAACCTCTGCTGAAGGAGGGGCCACGCTACAGCCTACACTTCCTCAACTTCACATACTTCTTGACCACGACAGTGTGGTTTCTGCCCCAACCACACAGAACCAAAACTGTTCTGGCAAAGGCCTTCCAGTTGCTAAGTCCAATACCCATTTCAGCCTCCTCTTGCTTCTGTTCACATCCTGCTTCTCGAAATCCAGACGCCCACTTCCTCCCGGGACCCTCCTCTTCTTCCCTGGCCAGGTGGTCTTACCCCTCCGCCGGCCGTGCTGTCACCTTCCATGTCCACTGGCTGCTCCAGAATTTCCATTCCTCGCCCTAGTGTCTTCTGAACTCCAGAACCACTCTCCTATCCATCCTCTGGACACGCTCATCCACATTTCCTGTTGACATCTCGACCTTAGCATCTGCAAAACCAAGGTCATTCTTTCCCCCCAGCCCTGCCGCTGAGAAGCCATGTCACCGGGGCACAGTACAGGAATTTCCTCGAGATCCTTTCTGCACTTGCAGAGGGGACACTGTCCCGTGGTGACTTTCAGATGAGAGCGCGTAAGAGCCGTGGTGTCCCGGCCACCAGTCCACAGGCCGAGCAGGTCGCTGTGTTCTGCTGCCCCGTCCTCCACCCAACCTGCTCCTCCCTTACTCCTGCCCAGCTCCTTACGCCAGCTTTCAGCTACCCGGGGCAGAAACCCAAGGCTTCTAGATCTTATTAGCTGCTAATCCCTGTAGATTCTACCTCAGGAACACCTCTCACCTTTGCCGCCAGTCCTACGGTTACCACCCAGGTTCCGGGCTTCGTCACTTTCTGTCTGGCCGATTGCCTCAGCCTCCTTTTGTGCCCCAGCCCGTCTCCAACTGATGGCTGAAGTGACCCTTCTAGAAGAAACCATAATCATCCCATTCTCTTGCTTAAAGTTCTGTTATAGCTCCTGGGATCTATCAGACTCTTCATCAGGTTTAGTCCCCCCCCCCCACAATTTCTCCTTTGAACCCCACTCAGCCCTCCTTCCTGTGCTCTCTCTTTTCTTGCTTCTGAGCCTTGAACGTCTGCTCTTTCAGCCTGAAATATCTCGCCCTCCCTCCTCCCTGCCCTACACCTCTACTTGGCAAACATTTGTCATCCCTCCAGCCACTAGAACGACCACCCCTTCCCCCGGGACACTCAGTCATTTCTTCCTCTGCCTCCACCCGTGGTAAATGCTGCACTCATTACTTTAGCAAATATGCCAGCTATGTGCCAGTATTCCTGAGCACTTTGCAAATATTAACTCACTTGATTTTTGTAACAACCCATTATCCCTGTTACAGATGAGGAACCGAAGGTCCCGGAGAGGTTGAGTCACTTGCCCAGATCGCTTTAGCTAAAGGTGGCAGAGCCAGCGTCGAAACCCAGGCTGTGTGGCCCCAGGATCTGGGCTCTGATTCATTCTGCTGTGTGGCCTCTCTGCTTGGCCCCGTATCACTGAATACTTGGTATTAAGCTAAACAATATAAAATGTCCAATATTTGGCCATTTTTAACCAATAAAAGCAGCACATTCATCTGGTTCAGTGTGCTAGGCACTTGGGACACAGCAGGTAACTCTGGACAGACACATCTTTGCCCCAGACAGGAAACGAGATCACAGTGTGATGATAGTGAAGGAACAAGCAGTGAGCGCATGTGACCTGATTTAGGGGTCTGTGGGCGCCCCCTGCAGAGGAAGTGGTAGAGTCTGAGGAGACCTGAAGGAGGAGTGGGAAGTGGAGGAGGAGTGTGAGGGGGAAGGTAGAAGAAGGGACTTCCAGGCAGGGGCACAGCCTAGAACAGCAGAGGCTAAGGCCTGAAAGTGAAGAGAAAGAGCTGCCCACTCTGTCACCTCAAATTAGTACCTGGCACTGAGCAGTTGCTCAATAAAGATTTGTCAGAAGAATAAATTAAAAATGCAAAGAAGGCAGGAGAGTTGAAGCTAATACAGTGAAAGTGGCGTTTTAAACAGTCAGTGATCCACTCAAATTTACTCGTTTATTGTTTTACTTTAAAGCATATTTAATGAGGTATAATCATAGACAGTAAAATTTACCCTTTTCTCTGTGAAGTTCTATGAGTCTTGACAAGTGCCTGCGTCTAGCCACCATCACAGACAAGATCTTGAATAGTTCAGTCCCGTAAACTCCTTGGTGCTGCCCCTTTGTGGCCAGCCCCTCCCCGATCCCCAGGCAGACATCTGTCTCTTCTCTGTGGTTATGGGTTTGCCATTTCCAGAATGTCAAATGGACAGACTCATATTGAATGTAACCCTCTGAATCGGCTTCTTTACTCAGAACTATACACTAAGCTGCGTGGTTGGTTCCCTTGGCTGGGGAGTCGAGGTCCATCGTGCAGATGCATCAGTTTATCTGATATTCACCAGCTGAAAGATTCAAATTCGCTTTCAAAAGCAAACATCACTGCACCGAGTCGGACTGGAATGGGGGCCGCTGCCTCTGCTGTTCGGTCCCAGGCCTTTTGCCTGGCTGGAAAGCAAACAGGAGATGGGGACTATGTCTTTGTCCCTTTTACCGACTTTACTGGCACAGCTGGCTCCGGGTGAGGAATGGAAGCCCCTTGGGACAGTTGTGGGAGAGATTGTGGGGAAGGAAGCCCAGTTCAATTACAGGGCTGTGGCAGGTACTTGGCTTCCGGAAAGAAGAGCTAGACAAGGACCTACTTCTGAGAGTAGAACAAGCCAGAATGCATGGTGTTAACTTCAACGTGGAGCGAAAGAGGGGGAAACAAAACCCAACCCAGCCCAGCTCCCTCACAGGCGCTGGAACTGTCTTCCTCGCCCCTGAAGCTTCTATGAGGCTGCAGATCTTCTCTTGGCCGACAGATGGTGATGATGCGCCCTGCCTGAGCTTGGTGTCTGCGGTCACCTCATTGATTCAGCAGGCTGAGTGCAGGGATGACCTCAACCAACTGCGCCGCACCAGCCAGGCTAATGTATTTATATCTACTCAGTCTGGCAACCCTCAGTCTGACCAGTCCAGCACCCAACCCCTCTCCCAGGACCTCCAAATCTTCACCTTGGTTGGCTAGTGTCCAATTTTGCTGGTTGTTAAATAGAATTGACCCTTGAACAACACGGGTTTGAACTGTGTGGGCCTAACGTGGGTCTGAGGATACAGAGGACCAACTGTATCCATTGTCCCACACCACTTTAGAGAGGGGACTTGAGCAGCCATGAATTTTGGTATCAGTGGTCCTGGTATCTCACTGATACCAAGGGATAACTGAAGTTTGGGGGGAGTCAAAAGCTATGTGGGAATTTTCAATTGCGCAGGGGTTGCCATCTGTAACCCCCGAGTTGTTCAAGAGTTAACTGTATTTTGACAATGACCCCTGACTATAAGAGGAAGCCAAAATATAACCCAGTTCTCTCTCTCCCCCACAGGCCTGGCGCTCCTGTTGCCCCCTGCCACTCTGGCCACCCTGGCGGACAGCTGGCTCCAGGAGGACTGTCCGGGCTTTAACTACACAGCCTTGGTCACAGGGGCGGCCCCCTCGCAGGCGGCGCTGTGGGCCAAATCCCCTGGGGTACTGGCTGGGAGGCCTTTTTTTGATGCCATCTTCGCCCAAGTCAACTGCCAGGTCTCCTGGTTCCTCCCTGAGGGATCAAAGCTGGTGCCTGTGGCCAAAGTGGCCGAGGTTCGGGGCCCTGCCCACTGCCTACTGCTCGGGGAGCGGGTGGCCCTCAACACGCTGGCCCGCTGCAGTGGGATTGCCAGCTCGGCCGCGGCGGCCGTGGCGGCCGCCCGGGGGACCGGCTGGGCGGGGCGCGTGGCGGGCACGAGGAAGACCACTCCAGGCTTCCGGCTGGTAGAGAAGTATGGGCTCCTGGTGGGTGGAGCTGCCTCTCACCGCTACGACCTGGGAGGGCTGGTGATGGTGAAGGACAACCATGTCATGGCAGCTGGTGATGTGAAAAAGGTGTCTGTCTGTCTGAGCCCCTGCCCTGGCCCTGCTCCAACCCATCACAGCCCTTCCGACTCCCGGAGGCCCTGGTGAATAGTGGTGGCCTGGGAGTCGGGGAATGAGAGCCCTGGGTCCCTCAGTAGCTCCATCTGTAAAATTAGGGGTTGGACTTGCTTCGTTACAAGCGTCTTCTGCTGCCTGGTATGATGTTCAAGGGCAAAGGACACACCGTGGGGAGCCCAGGGTTGATGGCTCTCCAACCCTGAGCAGGCCACTCTTGAGTCCCTGGACCTGTTTCCCATCTGCGAAGACCCCGCCCAGTTTAATGTTCTGAGCCTAATTGAACTCAGGTCCAAATGCCAAATGTTGCTGATATCAAAGAAACCATCCCAATCCCTCAAGAACCCCAAGCTTGTCACCCACCTGGGACCTGTGGAATGCCAGTCCCAGCTCAGTGTCCCCTCTCTCTGTCACCCTTCTGGGCTGCCAGGCGGTGGGACTGGCCCGGCGGGCAGCCAGCTTCGCCCTGAAGGTGGAGGTGGAGTGCAGCAGCCTGCAGGAGGCCACGGAGGCCGTGGAGGCAGGAGCCGACTTCGTCTTGTTGGACAACTTTAGGCCGGAGGTGAGGTGGGGTCTACGTCCGGGGAAGGGCTGTGTTAGGGGCTGTCACCTCCCCTCGGCTTGTGTCCCACAGGAGCTGCACCCCACTGCTGAAGCGCTGAAGGCCCGGTTCCCGCGCGTGGGCGTGGAGGCCAGCGGGGGCATCACGCTGGGCAACCTCCCTCAGTTCTGTGGGCCACACATCGATGTCATCTCCTTGGGGATGCTGACCCAGGCTGCGCCAGCCCTCGATTTCTCCCTCAAGCTGTTCGCCGATGGGGCCACTCCAGTGCCGCATGCCCGCCGGTCCTAAAACCAAAGAGGATGACACTGGCAATGGGATTACATGGTTTCGTGGGACTTTACCTCTGCTCACCTCAGTTTCCTAATCTGTAAAATGGGTCTAATAAATGATCAGTCTTAGAGTAGTAATTAGTAGTAAGTAGTAATTACTAACTATATTTTAATTACTATTTGGATAATAGTAATTAAAATATAATAAGTGCGCCCTGGCCAGTTTGGCTCAGCGGTTAGAGCGTCGGCCTGCGGTCCGGAGAGACCCGGGTTCGGTTCCCGCTAAGGGCACGTACCTCGGTTGCAGTTTGTCCCCGGCCCTGGTTGGTCGTGCAGGTGGCAGCCACTCGATGTGTCCCTTCGCGTCGATGTTTCTCTCTCTCTCTCCCTTCCACTCTCTCCCTCCCTCTCTCTCTGTACAAAAAATGGAAAAATATCCTCGGGTAAGGATTAAAAAAATTAAAAAATAATAATAAGTGCTCCATAAATACTAGAAATTACCAGAGTTAATCTCTTCTGATATGCACTTTCCTTTCACACATGTCCTTCTCTGAAGTCCAGTCTTTAATCAACGGTGTCTAATGGCCACTGTCAACCAGTCATTGGCCATCAGGTAGCCGTTGTAGCCGTTGTAGGCAGATTGTAGATCAAACATGATAATCTATTGAAATAGGTCCCAAAGAGCTCTTTCTACAGGTATAAAATAGAAATGGTGAGTGATAACAAAGCATTAGTCATGGTTTAATCGACACTTTTCTTTTTGAGCCGTAGTATGTGTTTTACAATGAATGGATCTTAAATTGGAGGCCAGGTGGAATCAAGCCTGATATTCAGCTGGAACATTCCTGGGTGATGCTCTAGTTGTACCGGTTATTGTCTTTGCCCCTCACCTCTGGCTATTGTTGCCACTTCTTTGGTGGAGGTGAGAACTTGTCTATTCCCCACTTCTTGGGGCCCCAACAGACTTCACCATTCATCTTCCCCCAAATAAAAGACCTCTGTTTGGTGCTATACACCTTTTAGGGTCTGGTTCCAGGACTGTCAGTTGGGAGAAGGCAGCCGGTACAGCGGGGGCCAGAGCAAAGGTCTGTTGAGGGAGTGAGGGATGGGGCAGGTAGGGCTACATGTTCAGAGGTCAGACTTCCTTCCATGCGAAGTCAGGACTCAGGGGTCTAAGCAGGGAATCTGAATCCTGCTCCCCAAACACACACCTGAGGTCTCACTCACCTGTGTGGCCACCCCTACCCTTCCCTCTAGCACAAGGCTCATGTCTCTCTAACCCTTCTGGGGTGGCTCCACGAGGAACCGGGACATGAGGACCCCCCAGGATGAAGGTGGCCCCCGAGGTGACTCCTCCCAGAAGGGTTCCAGTCTGGAGTCCACTTTCCCCTCCCAGAACTCACTCTCTTCTCTGCCCTTTGCCAGGAGAGAAAAACAGCTCTCATCCACAAAGGCTACTTCCCTAGCGGGGACCTGGAGTCCCACTCTGCCTTTAGGGAAGTGTCCTTCTCTTAGCCCCTTCTCCCACCCTGGAGACCAGCGAGGGCCTGGGAATGGGGCAGATCAAGAAGGCAGTGAGCTCATCTGAGTGTGAAAGCCCCAGACACTTCACAGTCCTGCCAGGAACAGGCTCGGAGCACACGTGCAGATTCACCCAGCAGAGGTGCCTGCCGGCCAGTGTGGACTCTGCCTTTGGTAAAACTCTGAACTGAAGGGGCCATTTTCACAGGACACAGCTCCGAGGGGCCACCTGGAGCTTCTGTCCTCTCTAATACATACCTCCGCCTCTGAATCCTCCTGTTTCTTCAGGAAAAACAGGAACAGCTCAGGGAGGCAGACTTCCCTGCTCCAGGGAACTTAGATCTCCGAGCTCCAGCTCCTCGGACCTGAAGGGGGAGACCCGAATCCCCACCGAACCAGGGGTACTTACAGGTGTCAGGACAGGGACGTTGGGACCCATGGGTGAGCTGGGAACTGGAAGGCCAAACACATGGGATCCAGGAGGGAATCGGCCTGATAGAAGCAGAAGTGGGAAGTGAACCAAGGGTCCCAAACTCAAATGCCTCCAGGACCCAAGCAGATGAAATAAACGGGGGAAGCTCGAATAAGGCAAAGGAGAGTGAAAAATGAAATCTACCAAGCTGCGTCTCAGGCTCACCCTGAACCCAGAAATGGGTCAGCCCTAAGTCACCCCCAGAAGAAAGGAAACTGGAACTGGGCAGGCGAAAGCAGCACATGGTCCCCGCACCCCCCCCCGCACCTCCCCCCTACCCTCCCCCCCACCCCCGGCAGAGGAGATGGCACAGGCAGAGGCTGGGAAGCAGGCATGGCTCGCTTTGCCTGATGTAAGATTTGAAGCTGGGATCAGGAGAGGTGAGATGGCCGGGAGCTGGGTTGGGTCCAGACCACAGCGTGGTAGATCAGAGGCCTTGGACTCTGTCCCAAAAGAAGTCAGCTTGAAGCTGGAAAGTGAGATAACCATGTTTGCAGTTGGATTTTTCATATTTGCAGGAAGATCTATTCAAGGAGCTAGAGTAACGGCAGGGAGACCAGGAGAAGGCTGAAGCAGCCACCCAGAGGGCTTGAACGTGGGTTGCAGATGGAATGCAGGCGGAGGAAACAGCATCTGCAAAGGCTCGGAGGGCACTTACAGCTTCATGGATTCAGGGCAGCAGGAAGACTTGGGTACGGCTGAGGGGGTGGGGAGCAGGGGGATGGATGGCAAAGAGGCATCTCACCCTCAGCTGGCATTGCCCTATCTATTTGGCTACACTTTCTCCTTGCCTGGCTAGCCTGGGACTGACTAGGTTTGTTTTTGTTTTTGTTTTTAATCCTCGCCTGAGGATATTTTTACATTTATCTTCAGACAGAGTAGGAGGGAGGGGAGAGGGAGAGAGAGAGAGAGGGAGAGAGAGAGAGAGAGAGAGAGAAACATCGATATGAGAGAGACACATTGATTGGTTGCCACCTGCATGACCCCAACCGGGGCCAGGGATGAACCGCAACTGAGGTACGTACCCTTGGCTGGAATTGAACCCGGGACTCTTTGGTCCGTGGGTCGATGCTCTAACCGCTGAGCCAAACTGGCCAAGGCATGGGACTAGGTTTGGATGATTTCTTCAGGCTGCCCACACCCAACATAAAGCCCATGCCCATTATGGCAAATATGCCCATCAAATCAGCTGCAGCTGTCAACATAGACTGCCTACACTGGCTGGTGAGTAGGGAGGGGACACACACTGACTGAGTGCCCTTGCTCAGCACTTGTCCTGTCCTGTGTTAGTGTCTCCACTTTACCCATCAAGAAACAGAGGCTTTATGGAGTTAAGAGAGCTGTTCAGGGTCAGACATCAATGAAGTGGTAGGGCAGGGTTTGAACACCCACTGTGTGCCAGGAAATATTCTAGACATGGAATGTATAACGAGTAAACAGATAAAAATCCCTGTCCTCATGGAGTTTATATTCTAATGCGGGGGAGGGGTGGAGTAGGGTGGGAAGAATAGACAATGAAAAAAAAAAAAATACCTGAGCCCAGCTGGCATGAGTCAGTGGATTGAGTATCGTCCCATGGACTGAGAGGTTCTGGTTTGATTCCGGGTCAAGGCACATACCCAGGTTTCGGACTCAATCTCCAGTAGGGGGTGTGCAGGAGGCAGCTGATCAATGTTTCTCGCTCACATTGATGTTTCTATCTCTCTTGCCCTTCCTCTCTCTCTCTAAAAAATCAATAAAACCGTTAAAAACAAAAACAAAAAACTGAGAAAACCAAATGTCAAATCTCCTCATGGCCACCAGAGGGCAGTATTATCCCACAGCTTCCATTCTCCAATTCCATCTCCCTTTCCAGGTTCCAGAGATAACAGCCAAGGAGGCCATGAACACTAGGGGTAGCATCTGCTCAAGGATGAAAGCTGAGGAGGAGTGTGCTGCTGCACCTTCTTCACCTACTTTCCAACTTAATCCTTTCATCAGATCCCCATCCAATTGCCCAAGATATCTCAGTGACTTTTCAAGGCTGTTTGTACTCCAGAGATCACCAAGACTCATTCATTCACCAACCCATCTACCCGTCTCTATTTATCCACCTTCTCACCCATCTTCCATCTACCCTCCTGGCCACTCTCCTATGTGCCCATTCAACTTCCATCTGTCCTAATTCTCACCAACCCACCCCATGCACCCACCCTCCTTCCATCTACCCATCCCTCTTGCCACACCTCCACCCACCTGCCAACTAAGGCACTCAGTCTACAGGGTCCGGGAAGGCAAGAGGTCAAGCCAGACTGACAGTGAATTCAACGGGCGTGAGTTTCAGAGTGTCAAGACCAGTGAAAGCTGAAAGCATTTAAAAATGGCAAGACATTATTAGCCAACCAAACCATATCTGAAAGCAATTAAACTTTGGATCTTACAAAATTCCACTGTTGTATTATGTGGTGTAGACACATGTATTAATTTACCCATAGCCCTTCAAGACAGTATGGTAGGTAAAATCCCATAAATGTTTCAGCACCTCTGTGCTTTGTTCCTCTCGCTTCCCGAGGAAGAGATCATTTTGGCAGTTACTCAGTAGCATTTAAGATGTGCTTTCTGGGGCCTTAAGTAGCTCAACATGTAAGAACAAACTACAAAGTACTGGAGAAAAGCTGATCACGAGGCTGTGAATAACAGCTCTATCAATCCCATAATATTGATGAGATTTGCCCCAGATAACATGGCTTTCTTTATTTCAGGTATGTAGTGCTCTTTAGATCACTAGACTCTAGCACTGCACACCCGGAAAATGATCAAGGGCAAACAGATCCTTCTACATATCTCTGATTTGGTGGATTGCTGGGCGACCTCTTTCCTCTTTCCGAGCTAAAAGATTCAGAACCCTCAGCTCCAGCAAAGAGCTATCACAAGTCACTTGCTTCCTGATATTTGGCTGCTTTTTAACCAAAGGAAAACATCTTTGTCGTTTTATAGGTATAAGAGCAATTCAAGCCTAAACTCTGCCTTGAGGTTTGTTTAACTATCTCATTACACTCAAACACATTCAATTTTCTAATGGCTTCATTTTCTTCGAGACATTTCTCTGTGGCCTCCTGAGCTGCCTGCACCTGGAGTGGAGATTCTCCAGG